CTATAAGTCTTAATCTGGCGGATTGTTCAAACTAACAGTTAATTATCATCTTGAATATCAACAGAGAATGGTTTTATAACTCCCAGTGGGTTTCAGCCTGTCCGTTAACGTGAACAGCACACAAAAGCGTGAGCACCCTCACTCACTGTTGTAACCACTTAACAGGACGGCTACATGTTGCTCCACGTACTTGGCTCACCTACTTTCAATGTATTACGTGACGGTGGCGCGAGTGAAGGCATGGTGGAAGTAAACTGTCAGTAACAACAGATGTTAAAGTCAAGTGGACGCTGGTGTTTGTAAGCCTCACATTCCCACCCACGAACATATTAATTACTACTTATCGCAATGGTGCGAGTTGCTCAATATAATATTGACGGAATTCTGGAAGCTTATATTATGTCTTGTCTGCCACTCGCAATTGGCAGGTTTTGGTTTGCGGTAAGTTCTTCCAGCTTCTCCACATCAGTTCAAAACTGCTTAAACAAGTTTTTAACGCACGTCTTCGTATTCATACGTACCAGAAATGTACATTTATTAATGTTCATTTAAATTATTTTTTTCTTCAATTAAGTCTGATACATGCCGGGATCATCTTGTGTCTACACTTTTCGAAATATTTTAGAGTATACTACATGTTTGACATGCTATATTTGCACGTTTGTGGAAATGAGTCGATCAGTAACATAAACCATTATCCAATTCTATTTCTTTTGAGGAAATAAGTCAATTTGGCACTGCAGTCATTAAATGAGTGCACAAAGCGATGATTACAGTAAAGAAAGGTTAAAAAAAAGTGGAAATAGGCTAATTCGTTTTCAAAGAACACTTATCAAATGATGCAAGAAAACAAGAGAGACCATGATAGTTCTTGCTTCTTTAAAGAACTTATCCTTATACATTGTACGGTGAATTTATCTCATTATTCATGAATATAATTAAATGGCAAAAATTGTGAATTTTCAAACGTTTTAGGTTTAAAATCTAAAGTGTTCAATTGTTTTGATGATAAATAATAACAATGAGTATAAAAGGGTAGCGCAATTACACTAACATAGCATAACTTATTTAAAGTTATGTTCTCTTGCTCAACGGCCTGAGGATAGAACCATGATCAATTATTTACAATCAATAATTTAATTTTTGTCTTATAGAACTCGCAAAATATGTATGTACCTAGGCTTGAAGGGTAGCAATTATCTTCATACTTTAAGCTTCAGCGACCACACTTTAAGCTTCATACTCACAGCGACCACAGACACAGAGCTTTCGTATAACAATATATTTATTAACAAAGAAAACAAAACAAATATATACCCTTAATAATCTACTTACACCCTAGCTCTGATAGACCTACTATCCCCTGATCGCGGGAGCGATCCAAACCCGATTGAAGATGGTTTTGATTGTGGCATTCGCCACTCCTATTGAAGCGCGCACAAAGCCTAGCTTCCGTGACCGGATGTCACGCTGGGACACAAAGTCCGTTCTGGCGCACCAACGGCTGGTTTGCCTCGATCGAAGGAGCGATCTTATCCGATTGAGAATCGGCGTGAATCGTGGCACTCAACCACTCTTCACCTCGGAGCACGCACACAGCATCGCTCCCCCGTGACCGCAGTCACCCAAGGACCTAAAGTCCGCAGGCTTCGGCAACTAGTGACTCGAGCCTCGCGAGCCTGGCTCGCATATGCACCGTCGTGGCGCCAAGTTTTGTGCACACGCACGAGGTTCTCCCGCTGTCTCCAGAACCCACCCACTGGCTCTGTACACTCTGTTATATAGGCGAGGCCCACGTGACCTACTACGTCACGCCACCCCCTCGCTTGTTATAACAGTGAAAAGTTTCTATAAGCCGGAAGCCGCCAAAGCCTTGTGTCTCCCGTTTCCGCGTTCTTGCCTTTACGGAAAAACCCTTCTCTCCTTCCTGTGGCGAGGCTAATCCTCTACCAAGCGTCCCAAAATAGATGCCACGAGGCACGCTGGCTAATACGTTACAATAACAATGGTAATAAGACTGCCATCATTTATATTTCTTATACGAGATTAGCTATACGTAGGTCAGCGGAGAGGTTTTCGCTTCATTAGAGCTGAAATATGTCGGACTCCATTATTTATCAATCTTGTCCAAAAACATTCATATTTTGGGTTTAAGAACACATGTTCGTGAATATTTTTTAGACAAAATATATTTTTAATAAAAAAAATTGCAACCATTTCTGAGCAAAATAATGCATTTTTTAAATGTTTAACATTTCGGGCAGCTTTTTAAAAAGAAATTTTAAAAATATCGTATCAAACCGATACGCTTCTTTTAAATCCGTATTTTGTTTCCATTTTATTTCTTGTTTTACTAAAGATTTTTCGAACGAATACATTTTTTCCAGCCGTTGATAGCTCCGCTAGTCTGACGCCGTTCGCCTTTTGCGATGCTTCCTTGTTTGTTGTGTGTTGTCATTTTACTCGTAGTGTCTATGTGTGGATGACTGATCGGAGTTTTTGCATAGTCAAAGCCAAACTTTAAAGTAAAATTCCCGTAAGTTACATTTTACCATACGCATCTTTTGTAGACAAAAACCTATGCAAGCTAGAGAGCTGATATTTTCAGATTATGTTCAGGACACTATTTCAAATAAATCTCGTACATTCAAAACAAACAGAAAGAATGTCTTAAACTTTTGAAAAAGTGTTCAATTTTAAAGCAAATAATTCAAAAAAATATTTCACAAAAAAGTAACAGTAAAGATAGTGATCTAATACATAGAAAATTATGTGGTTTAAAAGCCCACAAAGTCTGATTTATCTACTTGCTATTACTGCGGTTACAGAGAACATAAACTAAATTCGTTGATGAGAAAAATTACAACAAAATGTAATAAACTAAAATGTTAATTAGAAAAACACAGTAACGATTTTATAGTCAAACTTGTATTAAATTATTAATCATTACTCATTTATAACGAGACATAATCATCATTTACATCGGTAACAAATACAAATTTGAAAATACAAAATTTTGACCGCTATTTCTATTGCGTTCACATACATGTACCCACCCCAACAGGATTTTTCTTCATGCATATTGGATTTTTTTTGTATATGTATATTTACACATTTTGCAAATAAATAGTTTTTATGAAATACCTTTTTTCATTTTCATTCCTTCACAATTATAAATTCTTGTCAGAATTACTGACTTCCACGCTACCTTACGCATTGATTTTATAGAAAAGAAAAGGAAAATTGATTATATTGCATAACTGTCCGCCATATTGAAAAATTACTAGTTAAATAATTTCAAATCTCCCGGTTCACGTCTGCTGTCCATTTCAATTGGTAGATCGCCCTTAGACGCTTATTGGCTGATGAGGGGCAGAAATGGATGCTTCTTTCTGATTCGTTGCTTCAGTTGGGGTGGGGGGTCGAGCTTCTCCCCTCCATAAAAATAAGGAGCTTTGGAATAACATTGAGTGCCGACTCTGTAATATACTCTCTGCATGTACTCTTTATACACAAGTCATGTTGAGGCCGGCTGTGCAGCGGCCCCAGCAGTAGCCCGGGCGGGGCACCGCCCCAGGGGAAGAAATCCCCTCGCCTCTTCCCCTGCGGGAAGCGCGGCAGCCGACAACAGGGACAGCATCTGGCCCTCGGCGTACTTCCAAAAATTTCGAAAATATTTGTTTGAAAATATATTTCTACTTGATTTAGTAATGATTCGAAAAAAAACATTGTGAAGGGTTTTCATTTTTTTAAAGTGTGAAGCATAATTACATTAAAAAGGGTAAAAACCAAGTTTTTCGTAGATGAGTGGGGAATGAAACTATTGAACATTTATTTTGAATCCGAATAATTGTGCAATTCTACTTTTTTGTGTCGTTTTCTTCTGTCTTATCCGGCAACTCGGAGCCAGCACGGGCTTCCGCGCTCGTCTGAAGCCAGGTGGGTAGGCCAGCCTTGTGCCATGGAACAGCCACTAGTGGCAAGGCATCCAGTTATCTATAGATGAGGAAAGTTTTAAGCAAATTAAAAATAATTCGTTTCGAATATTTGAGACAATCCGATAATCAATGTATAATCATAATTAAATAACCCCAGTTACGAGAAACGGTCATAAAACGAGGTCGCAAAGGAATCGCCAATATTAGAGAGATTTATTTCCATTAACAGAATTACATAAATATAGTCATATTCTGTCGTTTTCCGATGAGTTTTTCCTGTAATCATTAACATATATACAAAAACATACAAGTGTAAACAGTTTCGACCCAAAAAATAAAATGAATCCCAAATAGAATACACACACTAGGCTCTCAGCATCCCGTGTACTGCCCAAATCAAAAGGTTATTTAAGGAAGGAAAATTAACATCTGATTTTTTTTATATCAACAACCTGATAATTTAGTGAACTAGCGATGCCAAACCAGCAAATACATTCTCTCATTATTTCTAAATAATCTGCCATATTATACATCATTCTCCATGTTTTCCCGCGACGAGACTCGAACTCTGGTCCCAGAGTTAACTCGCCGTGAGCCTTACTTCCACGCTATGGAAACGCTGCGATATTCGAACACGGGCTGACGCTTAAAAATGTAATTGTCCTAACCCAATACTAGTTTTTTTCAAATTGTATATGTTGGACAATTTTTAAAAAGCTGTATTTTGAGAACAGATTTTATTTAAGGTATAAATCTCCACTTCAATATTGTTGTTGCTGGAAGACGCCACAAAAGAATAGCACTTTTCGAAAAATCAGGGATTTTAACGAAATTGATATCTGCAACATTCTCTTAGACGCCCTTTACGCTGAGGACAAAGTAATATTCAAAAAAATTGGGTTGTTTTTGAGAAAATTTGAAAATGTTGGGGTTTAATGTCAAGTGCCCTCAAAAATCAAAATATCCCCTTCAAACTCGCAAAGCCTCGAGTTCGTTCAGAACAATTGGGGAATATCACCGTTGGAACATATTGGCTGAATAATTTAGGCGCTAACGCTAACAAACTTTGGCCGTCAATTGATTTTGCGATATCAAGGACCCACAAAACATGGATTCTGGCACCACCACTTGTTAAAAGGAAGTAATTTACTATATTTGGAACAATTTATCCATGCTTTCGTTACCAGGGCCCGACAATAAGTTTTTCTGCTTTAAAATACGCCATTTTCCGGCGCAAAATTACTATACATTCTCTCCTTTCATTAGTAAGGACGAGAAAGTAAAAATTATTGTAATTGTCACACGAATTAATAAACTGAAATGACAACTGATTAAACAATGTTGGTTCTATGTAATACATTAAATGTCCAAATGATTATTTTTTACTTTAGTTCGTAAAACTATTTTTGTTCTTGTTTCATGTCATGTGATATTGCTTTTCTAGAATAGTCTTAATTCTTTATATACAAATAGATGATGCACTGGTAATATTATTCATTGACATTATAATGTAAATAGCTGTCTTTGCTTAAATAGAATCACGCGAATGAAGCTATTTTGACAATGGAACTATTTTGACCAGGAATGTGCGTAACCAATTAACGCCCAGAAACGTAAAATACGTTTACAATCCCAAAACAATGATGTGAATAATTCTCATGCACAACAGTGTCTTACCACAAGACAATAGAAAGATCTCCTAATCAAGGTCTGGTAAATTGGCACTGCAGTGACATCAATCGATGCACTGAGCCACCTAAGCCAGTTGGCCACTTTAGTATAAAATGTGAATGTTTTATTTCTTCCGCATCATTGATTCATGAATCCTTTACTCTTCAGAATCTGATCTCAGAAGATCATAACTTACAAGGAAACATAAGTCATATCACGCTTCTTGTTCTGGTGAATTGTGGCTATTATACACTACGGTGACTTCAAAAAGTCTTGTTGTACTAGGTAACTTTTTCAGTTGTAACATAAGGTATAATATTGAATATAATGTATTGATTTTAGCCTGATAAAGCAAATTGTGAGCCTTGAAACATTGTGCTGTACAAATACGATAATGGTTTAATAAATACAATAATTCGAGAAAATGGTTTGTCCTAAATTTGGTCATAAAAGTTTTCTGAAGGTCATAAGGGTGAAGTGAAAACTGATCCCCAGCTCCAAGTAAGCAAGATATAGATTACACTACATTCCTAAAAGGCCTACGGATAACTAAACAAATATGCCTTTCACAAGTATTGTACCTCAATTGTCACCTCTCCCCCATCTAAATCAGGTTCTTCATCCAGTTTCCCAGATCCTTTGAGCAAATGTTGAGATGGTCCCATGTTTTGTTTCTTGATATTAATGAAGTTTCACCATGGCACAAGTTTTCTTGAGTTCTATGGGAAATGTAGATATTAAAATAATCATTGTTCATTTTGTTGCTGAAGTAAGGCAATTCCTTCATGTAGAACACTTAGAGATAGTAGCCAAAATCCACAGCTGAGCCTTTGTAAATAGTTTTTATTTCACTGAAGCGAATATATTCATACCAATTCTTCCCAAAATGCTCATTGCTATCTGTATTCATAATTCACCTTAATATGAATATGTTAGGGAAGAGATTCCAGAGCTCAAGAAACCATGCACAAACTGCACTTTTTATAACACATCACTCAGTTTTAACTGTTCTTTTGATGACAAATAAAATCAATATATAAAAAAAGACTACTCTTTTTAAACTATGTGTAAAAGAAGTGTCCCTCCTACTTGCAGCTTTTCAGCATTTCATATTTTTTTATATTGAAATATGTACACAAATCTAATAATGAAACAAAAACAAAACTTACAAAGAACAATAGAAAGAATATATAAACACACATGTGAACACTAAAAATGTGAATATTTCTCTTGTGGATTGGCTAATTAACTTGTCAGAGGGCACAAATAATAAAATATAAAAAAAATAATTTATAGACTAAAGAATCTTCCCTTCAAATGATAAACTTCTGAAATTAAAGATTACAAGCACTGGAAATATTCTCTTACAAGACTATATATTAACACGCTTGATTGCAATATATATATATATATATATATAATATATATATATATTATTATATATATATATATATATATATATTATATATATAATATATATATATATATATATATATATATATATAATATATATATATATATAATATATATATATTATATATATATTATTATATATATATATATATATATATGAAACTAATTGTAATTCATAAATGCCTGAAATACAAAAATTGGGAACTTATTTATGTAATTCAGGGGGCAGTAAAGGACATAAAACGCTGCATTGTGAACACCTATTCCTTTTACACATTCAGAAAACATTAAAATTTCAATGAAAGAAAGATACCAAATTACTATTGCTCACAACAAAAGTACTTTGGCAACACATCAATGAGGTTTTATTTTTTTGACAAAACATACACTTATTTCAACATGTTGTATGAACTTCAAAAGAACTTGACAAAAAAACAGCACAAACTAAAATAAAAATTCATTCACACCCACATAAGATATATTTCTTTACTACAACTACAGTTATCTAAGAGTCTTTTCCTGAGAGTTCTTTAACTTTAATTTGGTGCAAGGAATCTGCTTGTGTTATGTAGCTCTCTGCAAGAGCGCCTAGCTGTTGTTGAACACTGAAGACTGTATCTTGAGCTAATGATGAGTTCTTCAATTTCTTTTCGTGTTTTAGCTGCACATTTTTTACTGCATCACGGCATTGGATGAAAAGTGTCTTAGCATTTTTGGCAAGTTGAGCTCTGTGTTCAGTGGTGACTCTGTCCAAAAAAAAAGGGAAAATGTCAATGTTCAATAATACACATACCTTTTTACTTCTTTCCAATGTAATTCTTTGTAGACATGCAAACAAACATCTCAGGATGAAAGATCAAGTATGTACAGCACACACTAGCAGAGAGTTTCACTCACACAGCAAGGATTTCCAACCCTTCCCTTGCATCAGTCTTTTTAAATAATTTTAGCTTAATCAACATTCTTACATTTTCCCCTACAATCTATAACATTCATTATAAAATATAGTCATTGCACTTGCTACAAACAGTTGTGTTAAGAACTGGCCATCGCATTTCTGCAGTGTTTATTGTAAAAATGTTTTCTTGTGCGATTGTACATTGTGAATAATAGATAAAAACTCTTGGGTTTTTGTATCTTCCGTATGAGGAACAATGGATTTAAAAGAATAGGAGCAAATTTGTATTACCTATATTTGATATTTTGTAGTTTTATAACAGAAAACAATTAATTACCCACATTATTTTTTTTTTTTTTTGCAATCAATGAGATCTTGATCTGATCATTTGCTATTTACTTCCAGTTGACCCCTTCACCCTCTTTAAATTTTCACAGACTCCATTGGACACATCTAGTGAAATAAAATATTCATCAAAGGACTTATGCTAGGAAAAAACAACTTTAAGCATCCTGATAATATTAACTGTGATATCAACAATAGAAGGAAGGAATAGTTAATCTGACTGACATATCACACCTTGAGGACATTGGTGATGTATTAGATCATAGTCCCAAATTTGAAATATCATCCTCATACAAGAACATGACAGTGATAATGAATGTCAGTAAATAACAGATAAGCAATGCATATCCAAGAAGGATTAACATGACAGCCTTAGAGCTTTAAGTACTATCATATTATTTGCACAAATGTCTACTCTAACCAGTTAGAATTTCTGAGGAATGGAACAGAGTTAAATCTTCAACTCTGGCCTTTCTTGCAGGATACAACCAGTCATGATTATTAAAAAAACTATAAAACCTATTGGACTATCATCGTCGAATCATGTGACTATGAAAAGATTGTTTTTTTTAGTAGTAATAATACTTAGACTTGCCTGGCCATAAATGATGTCCTGTACAAATACAGCCAGTCAAAACCAACATGATTTTCAGAATATCCAAGCTACTCTCACGTGTTAGAATGCTGTTAGTTCAAAATCAAAGGGTTGATTAAAGATCATAAACTGGAAAATCTATGGAGACCAATTCAATGTTTTGTCATCATTCCCACTCTTGAAACTTTCAAGTTTATTAGCAATATATTAAATAGCTTATCAAGTGAATAATGTAATATTAAAGATTAATTTGAATTTTAATTCTAAAAAAACATATCCATCAACTTTCTGGTCATTTCTCCATATGTTTGTTGATTGTTCATTACAATATCTGGTAAATTGGCCATTGATGTTATTTCCAATACGAGTGTCAAATTGAAATATTCAATTCAGACCAAACTTTCTAAAATATAATTCTTGCAATTGTCCAAACTATGTTCTGAGGAAGGTTATTTAGATTACAAATTCAGACATTACAGGACAATAGATGGCATAGCAATGTTATGACCCTTGGCTCCCAACATGGCTGATTAGATTTTGAATAATTTATTGGAGAGTTTTATTGCCAATATTATTACAAATCATTTACTTTCAAGTATGTGGATGATATGATCATTACCTTCCCAATCTTCTCCAACTGAACAAATAAAAATTTGTAGCCATTGAGTTTTCAAAGAAATTATAGTACATTAATAAAATCAAACTGCCATAAGAATCCTAAAACCAAGCATTGATTTTCATTGAGTATGATTCACTGTAGTTGATATGGGTCTAATACATTTATATTACATTCTGTTCCACTAGTACTGAAATGTTCAATGCACCAGTGCAGTCTGTTTAAAATAAAATAAAATAAAAATATCCATACTTTGCATCTATGGTCTAACAGAAGCAATAAGCAGGACAATCAAGAATGATATCATCTCATTAATTACTGTATCATCACATTCACTAAGATAGCATTGGCCACTACAGTTTAGTACTTCCAAAGACAAAGTATTGGTGCTACAACAGCACATATTTTCTCATTTTTTGTAACAATTGCATTATAATATTGGAATTTGTATCCAACATTTCAGCCATCTTTTAAAGAAGTCTTAGCTAAAAAACCACCAAAGGTTAAAAATAAATATCTAATTTTTGAACTTTCATACATTTTACTGAAAATGACACTTTAGCCATCGAATTCTGCTCTTTTCATACAAAAAAGTTAAAAGAAACAAAACAAAAACAAAATTGCTTTGACTCAATCCATGATGAAACAATAAATATTTAATAAATATAAAATATTTATTAAATATAAGTTGAGCGGTATGTAAAGTCTCTTAATTATACACCACTCCAAAAAAAAAAAAATCCTATTATGTCCTATTATTAATTCACAAGTAACTGAGTTTTGAAATAAAATTATAAGAAGAAGGTGATGAAAAGAACAGACTTAGTAGACAACTTTGCAGCACTATAAAATGCAGATGTTATGAAAGAAAAAAAAAAAAAAAAAAAAAAAAAAAAAAAAAAAAAAAAAATTGAGAAAACATTACGTTAACAACAAAATTGAGATATATGCACAATGAAATTGGAATACAGTAATATAGTTCAGATCATAAAATTTTTTGGATTAAAGCAAATACTGTTGAATTTCCTTGTTTTGTGTACTATTTATTAATAGCATTTTACAATTTTCTCATTCCTCTTGAAACACTTTCATTATATTGAAATGAAGGAAGATAGAAGAATGGAGAGAAATATAGAGAAAAAACGAAAAGCTGCAAGAATTTAAACATTCCCAAAGCACTGAAAAAATATAAGCATTTTTCATTTTTTCTAATTCCATAAACCTACCATAAACAACAAGAGGGATTGCAACATCTGACTCACTGGATATCACAGAACACTTAGCAGACTACTTTGAGGACATCTCAAACTCTTCTTGGACTGGACTCAAATTCCTCAGCTGATTCAAACTGCATTCTAACAATCTGAGAAATTGTGCAATGCAACTGGCCCCAATACTCAACACTAATTGCAACAAAACTACCTTATGCATGAAAAATAGCTGAGGTTGCACTCTTCTTCAAAAAAGTGATAAACAATTATTAGAGATTTGCAGACCGATAATCTTGACTAGCACTATAGAAGAAGTTATGGAGAAATAATATTTCAGACTCCACAACCACGCATGAAGAAATCATCTGATACCCGTAGAACAACACAGATTCATCCTAGAAAATCCACCATCATCAACCTGATTACTTTACTTAATATGTGGACTAATACATTGGACCAAGGACAGCATAAGGATGTGATTAATCTGGACTTAGCAAAAGCATTAGACAAAGCCCCTTACAAACAACTATGAGTAATTCACAAATTAGAATTGATGGGATCTGGGGTAAATTAGTATGGATCTGAGAATACTTTTCCAACAGAACGTTCTAAATACACACTAGTTATGGACATTGCGGTCTATTGCATGCAGGGTACCTCAAGAATCCACTCTGGAATTGGTCCTGTGCATCTTATACACATGCAACCTATCTGGTATCTGCAAAACAGATCTGCTAAGCAGATGACACAAAATTTTGGCAAACCAACTGACAGATTGTCAAATTCTACAGAATGATATTACCACAAAAGAAAACTGACTGAAAAGATGGCTACTTCCACTGAAGATCAAGAACGGCAAAGTTCTTCAAATCAGTAAAAAAATTCCCAGACTACTCTTCTCTATCGCAAATCACACACTGGAACACAGCGAAGCAACTTGGATGTACTAATCTATCAGTGTCTGAAGTGGGAAAGTCAAGTTTCTGCAAAAACCAAACATTCAAATTGCATGCTATATATGATGAGGAAGGCATTCTCCAAATTGCATTACCTAACAATCAGAAAAATCTATACAACATATATCTGACCTATACTAGAATACGTTATTGTGGTCTGGTTCTATATTATGAAAATAACAAATAACATCTAGAAAAAACAGAAGTGAGTCATCAGGATCCCATGAAAAAATCACCAAGATAATAACCAACAAAGGTGCCAAGGGGATGTCATTACTGACACTGAAACAGACGAGAAATAGAACAGACATTATAGAGAGAGGCCTTTATAAGGTTCCATGGTACAATGCCCTGTTCACAAGATCCACAGACAACAAGGAGACATGATGAAACTGAGAAAAGAAAAAAACAAGAATTAGACAAAGATCACATTTCATCGACAACATATGGAACAAACTACCAGCAGACTGCATCGGAAAGGCGACCTTGAATGCAAACAGCTTGGACAAACTTAGATTCACGAATCGAAAGTGTAACAATTAAAAATGTGATAATTTGATGTGAGCTGTCTGTGAATTTATTATGGTAAAATTGATATACATATAGACACAGAACTATATATAACAGAGAGAAATACTATATCATACAGCACTCTGAGTATGTATATAAAACCTTGATGCTGCCACCATTATGCAATACAAAAAAAAAAAAAATCATTCAATGAAAAGTTGATTCAAAATACAAAACAATACAAATAATATAAAGAATAATTCTTGTCTTCTGTAATTAACTGATTCACATACCTTGGCACAGGAATATATAATGTAGTACCATCTTGCTGTGGATTTAAATTCATTCCTGACTTTTGTAATGCTTTCAGCACAGCAGTTATGGCTTGTGGAAATGCTACCATGTTAATAATGACAGTCTTCGTATCCTTCCTTACTACTTGTCCCAATTCCTGAAGAGAATATTCTTTTCCCTCAAATGATACATGCAAATTGTCAATGGCACCTGAAGAAAAATTTAAACCTCTTAGACATGTTACACAGGACATAGAATTTCAAAGATACAGAATGCATAGTAAGGGCACATAAGGGAGGAATATAGACATATCTCTCTTTTCAACATTAATGTTTCCTTTAAAACTCACACTTCATCTCTTTGACTTTGGAGAATAATATATCTATGATATTAAATAACAAAAATTTACAAAATTTTTTCAGCAGGTCTGCAATTGCTTCATTAATAAAATACAAATAATTGCACACACTGGATTACAGATAACAATTAGACTAATATAAACAAGGCTAGAAGATGGTTTCATTTTAATTTTTTATTTAGATTTTTGTACTATCACTATTTCTAAACTTACAAATATAAAAATGTTTTCAAAAACAAAATCACATATTACAATTGCATTAACATTTTATTTTATTACGTGAATGATGCAAAATTGCAGAAGAGCAAATTACCAAGTTGATATTAGTTGTTCAGTAGATTTATACAAGTAAATATAATAATAAAATTTGCAAATATTTTATAATCATTGGTATCTTGATCTTTATTACACCTATCAGTGGTCAGTGCATATTCGTATATTTATCACTTGATCATCAACCTGTAGCCAGTCGATACCAACCCCTTGGGGAACCCTTGCGCCAATACATATCTCAAAAAATTACCTTCAATAAAAATGAATTTAGCATTTCACAGAAACAATTTGAACTATTAGCTGGTATAATTTATTTCTCAAAATGAAAGTTGATATATCATCTTCATACACATAAATGAAACAGAAACATATAAGGATGGGTTTCTAATATTATTTGATCAATTTTCAAATCAGATGTTTTCATTTCTGTCAGAAAATGATTCTTCAAGTCTGTTTACAAAAAAATAACTTAACCCTTACATTATAATAATGCATCAGGCATTCTAGTTGCTGTAAAATTGTCTTTCAGGTGAAACTTGCAAGATAAAGACCTTCAGTTACTTAGTGTAATCCTGGGGACTATAATTTTTTTCTTTTCTTTCAATGAGGGGATAAGTATCAATAGGAGATCAAGTAAGATCAATAGGAGAAAGCTCAAATTTTGAATATAATAATAATAATAATAATAATAATAATAATAATAAGAAGAAGAAGAAGAACAACAACAACTCCGCCAATGCCGGTCCCAAGCCCGGGGCCTCATCTCACAAGTGATGAGGAAGGAGGGGGAGGAGTAACACCTCGTAAAAAAAACCTGGGTCCATCTGGCTCCGGATGGTAGCACCCTGTGAGGGCCCCTGCCTAGGGTTACAGGTGAAACCCAGCCAACCCGGTCTCAAAGGTGGATGAGGAATCTTAGCTCTCAACGGCAGAGAGAGCGGAAGAACCTAATGGAGAAAACCATGAAAAAATAATCATTTCGGACTAACAATCTGATCTTATCTTGGAATTTACTTCCTCCCATGTACAATGTACAATTTCAATTGCAGAATGGAAAGTCCGCCAATAGTAAGCACTACCCCAGGTGGTATCTCGGAAGAGGAATCCACCATTGCAGTATGCAATGCATCGGGACCTAGGGTTCTGGGGAGTCCCAACATCTGCAGTAAGGGCGAGTCGGAGCGTCCTTGGAATCCTTCCAAACTCAACTTTAAAAGGAAATTCTTCGCAGGCACCTTGAATGTAAACTCATTACTAAAAACTGGTAACAGCAAGAACTTGAAATTCTCGTAGAGACGCATGAAATACAAATTTTAGCAGTGCAAGAAACTCGATTCTAGGACGAAAATGTTACAGAAACCAAACACCACAGAATTTTTAAACGTAAACCAGCAATAAAAATGATGAAAGGAATGCCAATACTTGGTACCGCTTTCTATATTCATAAAAACTTAGTAGATAATGTTACGGAATTTAAATCTTGATCAATTTCGCTGGTTTTTTGTTTTTTTTTGCGGGGGAGAAGTTTCAGCTTAATTTTTGTAAGGTAATGATCAGAGTCAAATTCCCTGTTTCTTGTTACTTTTACATTCATGATCTCTTTAAATATTTCTTTGAGAAATAGCACGTGATCTAACTGGAACTCCCTAGCAGTGGGATGGGAGATATCCAAGTTTTTGCTTTGTCTGGGTAATTTCTTGAAGAAAGTTGACATTAATTTTCAGATTGAAAAGTTTTACAAAGATTATTAATCTTGACCCATTTTTATATTTTCTTTTATGGGCTGGATATTCTCCTACTGTTTTTCGAAAAGCTTTTTCCTTCCCTACTTGTGCGTTAAAATCCCCAGTACTATCACAACCTTTGAATTTTGGGATTTTTGATAATTCATCTTCCAGAAGCTCCAGAATGCTTCTCTTTACTCGATTTTCTTATTGTCATCATTAATTGGGGCATGGCAATTAACAAATGTATACTGTTTGTTTTTGCATTTAACTGTTAAAAGAGAAATTCTTTCGAATGGAT